TTTCTCAAATAAGTTTGCTTTACATTTCCTCGGAGAGTTTGTGACCACTGATACTTGGTTAAAAAAAAAAAAAGTTTTCCACCAAGCTAACAAACACCTTGTTAATCAGTAAGTTAATACTCTACAGAATTGGACAATGTTTTTATAACCAACCACCCTTTTAAATTGGCTGCTTTCTCAAATTCACTGGATCTCCTTACCTATCTCTTCAAAATTAAACTAATCAATATAGCCCCACCACAAAGCCATGGTCTTTTGATTCCTTCTGACATACCAGAATATAAAATCCCTTCCAGAACCATTAGACTGACCTTTGATGGTTTCCACTAGACCTGGTTCCTAAATTAAGTCTATAAATAGAATTTTTACTGCTTCAGAGAGAGGATATAAGTCAATGTGTAGGGCATTCTTCAAGTGAAGAAGAGAGAATAGGGGCCAAGAGAGGAAGACATATTGAAACGATGCAACAAAAGGGAAAACGGGGTAGGGGTGAATAATGTCTGAGGTATAGATTTTCCTTTGTGCAGAATTACAGACAAGCAGCCTGATGGTGTCTTTCTCCAAAGGACAGATCAAATCAGCAATTGGTGCTAAGCAGTGTCACTCTTCGGATGCTTCCAAGGGTTGTCACTTATTAAGAGATTTCAATGCTGAACACATATCCTAGCTCCCTGGAGAGTGCTTGTATAGAAGAAAAACATGGCGCTGTGGTAGTAACTCCTCTACCTCCACCCAGCTCAGGTGCTTTGTGAAATGCCTTTTGTCAGCTTCCTACAGCTCTGTGCCCCTGTGAGTCACAGCCCATAAGTCCCCTTCTCATAACGCAGCAGGGTATCACGAAGGCTACTTCCTCCCTACCCCTTTCTTTCATGTGTGCATGCATTTATGTGTATATATATCAGATATATACATACTACTGAATATTAGAATAGCACTTGCCACCACTACACCTCACCATATCTACATTACCACAAAATAAAATTACTTCCTAGCCCATTCACCACTCATTCTTTCTTTCACTCCTGCAGGCATTGTGCCAGGTATTGTGACAATTGTCACCGGTACAACATGCCACCCTCATGAAATTTAAGAGTCCAGCGAAGGGATTAAGCAGGTTATCATATAAAAATATTTCATTACAACTGTGATAGGTACAACAGTGGAAAATATGGATAAGACTCACCCACAAGGCATCATTCCAGTGACTTCTGAAGGATGAGCAGCGGTGGGGAGGGGAAGCAGGGAGAGCATCCCTGGAGATGGAAGAGCCGGGTGGGGGAGCTGAGGCTGGACATTGGACAGAAGGAAGAACGGGGCTGGGGCAGGGAGGAGCAGAAGCCCAGAGAGGCACCAAAATAAAGCTGAAGAAGGAAATCTTAAATACTGAAGACTTAGTCCTAAGAGAACGGGAGGCCACTGGAAGATTCTTTCAAGAAAGCACTCTGCTTATAGTTTATTGAGAAACACCACTTCATGCTTAATGAATCAAAGGGAGCAAAAGTAAAAGCAGAGAGACTAATTAGAAACTATTTATCTGGTAGACCTGGCAAGAAATGAGAAGGTCTTGGATTAGGAAAACTTCAGGGCAATCAAGATGGCCTTAGAAAGCAGAATGTACCACATGTGCAGGTGGATTTCAGGGAGAGCATGGCACTCAGTTAAGAGTGCAGATAATTCAGTAGTTTGGGTCTTCATTATTCAGAGAGTTCGATGACAGTGCCAAGTATGTGGAAATAGCACTGGAGGGAGAGGAGCTGGCTGAGACCGCTGGGTTGGGAGAGAGCAAGAGTTCAGAATTACACATACCATGTTTGAAACATCTCTGGAACAGCTGAATGAAGAGGTGTAGAAGCCAGTTGGACCAGAAGGTTCTGCACCATGAATGAAGATCATTCTAAATGATGCAGTGTCAAACACAATGCTGCATTTCTTTCATATTTTCCGGAAAGGGATTGGGTTCTACATCTGCACTGCTCAACACGGGAGCCAACAGCCACATGGGCATAATTGAAAGTAAATAAATGTTAAATGTCAGCATCTCAGTGGTAAGAGGCACGTTTGAAGTACTCCCCGTGAATGGTGGCTACTGCATGGGAGAGTGTATGGGCCATTTCTGTCATCTCAGGAAATTCTATCAGTCTTATTCCAGAAGCGCAGAGGATTTCTGCTTATGATGTCCCACCTGACTAGTCTTCTGGGGGAATATTCAACTATCAGTCAACAACACCAGTAGGTCTTATTATCTTTTGAGTCTCACACAAGGTCTTCCGGTTGAAGATGAAGATACAAAAAAAGAAGGACTGACAGTCCTTGTTACTCAAATAATTGTCAATGTACCTCTTTAAAAAAAAAAATCTTCCACTCTACCTTAAAAACAAGTAAAGGATACATACCATGAAAAGGAATATCATGCTAAATTGTATTTATGAACTTAACATTACATAAGGGTGTGTCTGTGAGGGTGTTTTTGAGTGAAATTGCCATTTGAATCAACAGACTGAGTCAAACAGATTGCCCTTTCCAGTGTGGGTGGAGCCCACCTTAGCTGTTAAAGGTCTGACTAGAAAATAAAGGCCTCTCTGTTTCGTTTCGTTGTTTTTCCAGCAAGGACATAGATCTTCTGCCTTCAGACTCAGACTCGAATTTATACCATAAGTTTCCCTGAGCTTTACAGTCTGGACTTCAAATCCTCCTCATAATCATATGAGCTGATCTCCTGTATACAAAATTTATTTCTCTCTCTCCCTCTATCTCTCTCCCTCTTCATCTGTGTCTCTGTTTCTGTCTCTGTCTCTCTCTCACAGACACACACACACACACACACACACACACACAATATTGGTTCTGTTTCTCTGGAAAACCCTAAACAATAATACTAAGGATGTGAGTAGGCACAGGGAGTGAGCTTACATTGTGAAAATCCTATCAGACAACCTGAGGAAAGGAAACTAAAGTCAGATGACATGAGGTACCAATAGAGCCTTCAGTCTTTATTTAGATTGTGACCAAAAAGATGGATTCATAGAGAGAGAGAGAAGGAAGAAGAGTAAACTACGTAGGGAAACAATTGAACAAGGTGTGTGAGTGTGCAATGCCAGGCATTGATTGGCAAAGGAGATCAGATTCTCTTCTGAACTATGTAATAAACAAGGTAGTAGATTATTTTATGGTTCAACAGTGAATGAAGAACTAAAGAATGAGCCCAACTTAGAAGCATCTGAGGCTAACTCAGACATGGAGGTACAGGGCCCCCAGGAGAGCTGACTCTGCATTCAGGGAAGATGTATCTAAACAGTCCGAAATACATTGTAGGCTTCTAGAATAAAAGATGAATTTTTAAAAGTTCGATAAAATATGTTCTCATTGAACGAAGATGTAAACTGAACATCCTATGTGCAAAATGCAAGACATGTATCTCACACAAAATGCCACTCAAAATGACCGAGCACCTCAGTACCAACATGGCGGCTGGAAGGTTGGATGAGGTAAACACAGGAGTCCTGGGCTCTGTGACAGAACACAGCACACATGCATGTTGCATTCACAGGATGTGTTTGTTGTCTTGGTTTATTTTTAAATAAAATTAACCAGCTGGAGGGATCACATAGCACTACTGCATTATTCCTTTAACATATTGGATTGTCAAAATTATTAATAACATAAGCTATAGCTCAAAGACCACAGACACTGCTTAACAGAATAACATCAAGTTCAAGGTTAATATTAGACCCATCATGAAAAAACATAGATAGAAACAAGGGCTTTAGACTTAGGTGAAGTTCAGACATGAGTATGAAGATTAAAATCCCTAAGATACCAACTCCTGTGGTTTTCTTATAAACTACAATGCCACATAGCCATGTCCTCTTTCATTGAAATACTATTTTCAATTAGAATTCATGTACTTTTCTTGTCTGCTAATTGCTGGATACTACTGCTAAGTAAAAAAATATGTCCTTGAACATGAATACATATATTTAAATGGCTTCAAATGTGTTTTGCCATGGGCTCTGTATCCATTTTGATTTTCAAAAAAACTATCCATTTGTTCTATGACTATCTTTAAAGAAACATAAGCAAACATATTCTAGTTTGTTGGGGCTTATTTTTTCTTAATGTATTTGCTTTAGTTGAGTTACTGAGTAGAATTCAGCTCATTAATCATTTCTCCAGTACATTTTTTTCTGTGTGTTTTATTTTCTTCCATGAAAACTGATGTTGATATATTTCATTTTAGCTACTATTTTCAGGGTTCATAGAACACTGCTCATATCCAGAAATGATCATGTCTGACAAGATCCTAATATATCATATACAATATATGATATATATTATTACATCATTTATAAGATGCAAAGTGTGCTCACTTAAACTGTGCTGTTGGAAGGAATTTTCAACTGATTTCCTATGTCTGCAGGGTAGTTAAATGTTGATATAGAGTATGCAAGTTTAATCTTCAGGATGAGAAAAACCTTTGCCCTGCCAACTTTACTGACAAGAATTCATTCTGGTTTTGGCATTCATCTCAACATACTGATGGTTTCAAATGTATGTAATAATGCAAGTAAAGGAAATTAATTAAAGAAGGTACTGCATGCCACATATTGGAATTCTTTGTAGCCCTTGGAAAGACAGTCTCAATACAACCCTATCATTGGAATAACAGCATTGTTTTAAGTATGTGTGTGTACACAGACACAGAAAATATTTAGAAGGAGGATGAACATGGTTTCTGTCAGGAAAACATTTTTCCTTTACTTTGTCTTGGTTTGGGATTTTTATATAATAAACACATATAGCTTTTATAGTACCAACATTCATTCATTTAAATAATGACTACAGAAGTCTCTCTTTCAGCTCTGCTGCCTCTTGCACATAGACCTTGAACCAGCCCAGCAGACAGGGCTGATGATGGGGTGAATCAAACGGCCACTGTCCCTCCCAAGCCTCACCCACCTGGCTTGGCTGTCCCCTACTGCACAAGCAAGGATGCTGCTCACCAAACTCTCCTGGACACAAGGAGTCTCCACCAGCCTCCGGACGCCATTCTCCACCGTCACTCCCAGCCAGTTGAGCGCTGCCCAGCACCAGAGGTAGTCGTAGCTGCCATGCCAATAGCTCACAAAGGAGAATGTCATCGCAGTGGAGAACAGGGTCCCCAGCCGGCCATGCTTGGAACCACCCAGCGGAATATACACATACCTGGAGAGAGAGGAGGTGTGTGATGAGCCACAATGAGAGGTGCACCTGCAACACCCTCTGTGGCGGCGTGCGCGCCCTGCTGCATGCCAACAGCAGCATTTCACACGACCAGACACCTGCCCTGCGTCCAGCACAGGACATTTGAATTCTCCACCACAAAAGGAGTTGGCAAAAGCTCAAGCCTCCACACTTCAGGGTTTTAGGTTAAATGAACACACAGGCAAAAGAGCTCTTATTACTAGAGCAAAATAGCACTTATAGGAGGCAGGAAGAGAAGTAATGAACTTGGGCTTTCTGAAAGGGATTCACTCAACCTTGGGAAAACAATCACAGCAAGGCAATTAAGTTGCTGGCTACAATCTTCATAGCAGCTAGGTAGTATGTGATAAGTCTATTATTTAAACACAATTGCTAAGATCCCATCAAATGGTTAAGAATGTGAAGGAGAAAGGGATGAGTGATATCCTAAAAAGGGGTGCTAAGGCCAGCCCCCCCAGTGTTCTGGGCAAGTTGTACAGAAGAAGTAGAGAATTCATTAGTAGAGAGAAGAGCTCTATCACCGGGTGCTGGAGCCTCATAGCCATAATCCTAGTTACTCAGGAGGCTGAGATCTGAGGATCATGGTTCAAAGCCAGGCCAGGCAGGGAAGTCTGGGAGACTCTTATCTCCACTGAAATACCAAAAATAAGAAGCTAGGAGTAGAGCTGTGGCTCAAGGAGCCTTGAGCCAAAGAAACTTGGGCTCAGTGCCCAAATTGAGCCAAAGAAACTTGAGGACAGTGCCCAGGTCCTAAGTTCAAGCCTGGCACCGAAGTGGGGGAAGGGGCAGAAGAGGAGAAAGAGAGAGAGAGAGGGAGAAAGAGAGAGAGGGAGGGAGGAGAAAGAGAGAGGGAGAGAGAGAGAGAGGGAGAGGGAGGGAGAGGGAGAAAGAGGGAGGGAGGGAGGGAGGGAGGGAGGGAGAGAGAGAGAGAGTCCTCCATACTCCTAGGACAGCCAAATTACCACCCCAAATGAAGGCCCCATCCTAAGCGTATGTTCTCCATAGCTAAGAGGGCTGCGTATTCGTGCAGGGGCAAAACTGTTCTCTAGGCCCTAGAGAATATGAACATGCCTTTTCTGCATCACAGCTTTTTTTTTTTTTTTTTGGTCGGTCATGCGGCTTGAACTCAGGGCTTGGGCTGTCCCTCAGCTCTTCAGCTCAAGGCGAGCGCTCTACCACTTGAACCACAGCGCCACTTCTGGTTGTCTAATGCTTTATCTGAGATAAGAGTCTCACAGACTTTCCTGCCTGGGCTGGCTGTGAACTATGATCCTCAGATCTCAGCCTCCTGAGTAGCTAGGATTACAGGCATGAGCCACCTGCGCCTGGCTGCATCAGTTTTTAAAGAACCCATAGGCCATGGATTGTTGCTGGTTTCTGCTTCTTTGTCCAACCTTCTTCCAGGTCGGAAAAGTAAATTGGTATCCAAATATATATGTATTCTAACCTGGACACTGTATATGGATCTTTTTAATTCCTTGAAGAACCATGTGGTTTGGACTTGCTACCTCAACATCCCAAACAGTTTAGCATGTGTCCCGATCATACAGTGTTTCAATTTTTTTTTGGAGGAGGACCCCCATAGGAAGAAAAGCCAAAGAATAAAATATAACAACAATTGATCAGTCACACACAAAAAAATTTCAACATACAGTGCAACTGACACATAAAAACAAAAACAGTACACATTCATGGGGTAAGATGTGATATTTCAACATATATAGATTATATAATGTCATCTCAAAATTCATTTCATTATGGAGAAAGTTTCCAAAAAAATTTGAAGTATATAACATCATCATTATATATACTTTGATGTAACAGCACACCAGAACATCTTGTTCCTATGATTGTAATAATAATTATTTTTTGTGTCACTATTGGGACTTGAGCTCAAGGCCTGGCACTGTCCCTGAGCTTTTCTACTTAAGGCTGGTGCTCTATTACTTGAACCACAAACCCACTTCCAGCATTTTGCTGGTTAATTGGAGATAAAAGTCTCGCGGACTTTCCTCCCCAGGCTGGCTTTGAACCATGATCCTCAGATATCAGCCTCCTGAATAGCTAGGATTACAGGCACCATCCACCAGCACCCAGATGATTGCAATTATTTCTTAAAAGTCTTCCTTGACAAAGATTCTCTCTTTTTTTCCTTTGTGCCATTACCAGAACTTGAACTCAGGGCCTGGGAGCTGTTCCTGAGCTCTTTTTGCTCAAGGCTAGCGCTCTACCACTTAAGCCACAGCTTTACTTGTAGCTTTTTTTTTTTTTTTTTGTATGAGAACCTCATGGACTTTCCTTCCTGGGCTGGTTTTGAACTTCAATCCTCAGATTTCAGCCTCCTGTGTAGCCAGTATTACAGGCCTGAGCTACCAGCTGGCACATAGCAGGATTCTCTTGTTGACTGAGTTTTGATCAAGTACCTCCAAGCCCTCTAGACGTTGACCTTGAGGTGTATACTTGTTAAACCTGCATCACTCAGTTGTAGCAAGAATCCTGCTTAGTCAGTTGAGGAGAAGCCAAATCCCTTGTCTGAGAGCCTTGTACCTGATCAGCCTGGCCTGCTGTCAGCAAGAATCCTGTTAGGTCTGTTTAATCAGAATCCCCCTTAACTCCAGTGTTTCCTCCAGCTGCCCTGCAGTGACCACGCCCCTTACTCCCTGGTTGCTTCCAACTTGTCCTTGTTGTATTCAGAACCAAGCCTGGTTGAATGTGGAGGTTTTGCCCTTCTTTCTTCTCTTGTTGCAACAGTTACTGCATAAAATTTGTTTTTACTATTTCAACTACTTTCCGGCTCTGCTTCTTAACATCCTTCCTTCTCAAATGCACTCCAGTTTAGAAGACAAATTATACAATCACCTTCAAAACCCTTCCCTATGGGTAAGAATACTGAAGGTAAGAAGTTAATTTACTCCCAATCTAGACAGCTGGGAAGAGAAAGGACCAAGATACAGATCTGCCTCAGTGGCTCCTAAGCTCATGCTGTCTCTAAGCCTGTGGGTTCATTCTGAAAGCACTCTTTCACACTAGTCAGAAATAAGCCAGCCCCAAGGCATGTGAGAATGTAACCATTTCAAAAAGACAGGAAACAAAGACCCAACTTTCTCTCATACAGAAACAAGACCATCCTGATAAGCAAATTAGCAAGTGGACATCAGGTGCTCATTATATATTAAAAGATGTTCCTTCTGCTACCTCACATTAATTTAGGCCTTGGGGAAGTGTTTAGCATTATAGGACAGGCTGGCATACACACTGTTCCTACTATATGGGCAGGTACACCTGGCTGTGAATCAATGATCACTTAAGCTACAAGATGTGGTACAAAATAGACCAGAGTAAGTTAAGGATGTGAAGAAGAAGAAAAGAATGAGTGGAGACCAGTGGAAAATGGTTGGCTTAATGGCAAAGGAGCTTATTTTGTGAGGTCAGGAGCATAGGGTTCTCAGGCTAAGGCAGAAGGCTAGAGGCTGCACGGAGAACAAGAGAGTTCAGCAATAAGCCAGCAAAGCCCAAGCACCCAGGCATATGTCTTACTTGGTATTCTGCTGCCCCCTAGAGGCTGCTTGTTTGCTAGTGTAAACGACTCCAGCAGGGGACAAGATAGATCACAAATCTCTGCTGCGTTCTATCTGCATGGAGGTAAAGGCAGTGACACAGTGATGCTAGTCACTTTACACAATTGGTGCCCTAACCTGCTCGTACGTGTGTGTGTGTGTGGGTGACCATTTTCAATGTATAAATAGTGACTGTGATTAAAGGAAACTGCAACAATTATTTTATTCTCCTTTATTTAATTTATTTTATTTTATCTTACGTAATACTTTCTTCCCCCCAACCTGTTTTCATGTAGAGATTTTTGTTTTATGTATGTACTATGTACAAATAAGCTGTATTTATACATGTCAGCAAAACCAGCACAGAATAAAAATGCATGCCTCATTCCAATGGTACGTGATGATGGATCCCATTCTAAAAGGGCCATGTTTTTGAGCCGTGAGGAAGAAGCCATCTAGCCCCATAATGACAGAGAGAGGGGGAGGGGGAGGGAGAGGGAGGGAGAAGGAGGGAGGGCGCACACTATTTTAGGCATCTCCTGGAACCATGGTTCTTGCTTTGCCTTCAAAATGACAGCTGACAAAAATCTCTGAGATTCCTTTTTATTCTAGAAATTCGTATGTGCTAGGTCTCCAAGGACACAAACCTGCTGTTTTGGCTTTTTTTTCCCAAACCAGAAGGAGTACCGTTTCCAGACAAAAATTTCTTCTTCACTCTTAATCTCTAGAAGGCAGTAGGTGTGGTAAGGAGAGGGAACAGGTAGGTTACTCATTCTACTAGTCTTGAATCATGTCTGTGATGAATAAAAATGGAAACGGATCCATTTTAGAAAAGCAATCTCATAAATAAAATAAATAAATAAATAAATACAAAAATAAAGAAAAGCAATCTCATGGCCTCCCTTGCTGAGATGTGCTCACAGGTGAACTTGATTTCCCAATGGAAGAAAGCAATCAGCACCACCTTTTCAGAAAAGCAACAATAAAGACATTGCTTCGAGAAGAAATGTAGGGCTACATCTGCCCAAGGTTCCTACGTCTGTCCTTGCCTGGCTGTCCTGGTGTGCTCCCTGCTTGAGACGATGCTGCCTGAGACAGTGAACATCTATCCGCTTTCTCCTTCTTCATCCAAAAGCATCTCATGGATTCAACACAACATAGCAAATCCCACTTCAGAAGGAGGATTTACAGCAAATGTAGTACCCACCACTCTTTCCCAAGTTCCTAGACCCCGATCGCTTATGCACACTACTTCCAGTCATGAGCACAGGAGATAATGAGACTTATTTTAAACAGGAGAGGTGAAATCTCAATCTCAATCTCCAATGTTCTGTTACATCCTTTATCATAATGTAGCACTTCATGCCACCCTATTTTTCTCTTTATTTCATTGACTCTTCTAAT